GGGAAAAAAGGGCAGATTGTGCAAAGGAAAACAAAAGAGACAGAGAGACATCAAGAGACAGGAAGCACAGAGAGACTGGAAGAGTTACTGAGTGAGAGATAAGGGGGAAAGAGGAGGGAGGGGGAGGCTTGTGACGTGGCAGCTACAACTGAGAGTGCCAGGAAAGGGCTGAAACCCAGACGAGGGCACAGAGAGAGACAGAAAGAAGGACCTGCAGGGACACAGAAACAGAAACATGAAAAACTGAGAAAGACCCTGAGGGAAGAGGCAGGAGAGAGGTCCAGGGAGGCCACGACCAAGACAGACAGGACATTTGAGCGACAAAGAGGCTAAGCTGGGGAAGGCCTGGCTGATCAGGTGGAAACAGAAAGTGGAAGTCCCTCTGCTCCATCCCTGCAGTGACTACTTCCTTCTGAAAAGGTGCCCACTTTTTGGCATTGGGGCTGGCAAGAACAGTTCCCCAGCGGGTCCTTGCCCTCCCTCTGTGCCAGGCCCACCCCTCTGGCCCTGGCCCCAGCCCAGTGCCACAGGGTGCCCTCCTCCTCACCTGCACAGCAGAGGCAGACTGTTTGCTGTCATTGTTCCCCGGGGAGCTCAGGCCTGAGGCCTGCTGCAGCAGGAACTGCCGGGCCACCTGGAGCGCCTGCAAGACAGGGGCTGAGTCAGTGGCCTCAGAGGCTGGGTGGGATCCAGGACTCAGAGAACATTTGCAGCGGTAAAAGGGAGGCGGGAGGCGCTCAGGGTAAGGTGGAAGGCCTTGAGGGTAAGAGGGTCACGGGTCCCTGAGGGCTTGGGGTAAGGATAGAGGTAGAAATCACTTGGAAGACCTGTTGGGGTTCAGGGATTAGAAGGCTGAACTCATCCTGGGGACTCATCCTGGGACCCAGTAAGATTTTGTTAGGACTCAGTGGGGGCAGCAAATGGAAGGGCCAGTGTTCAAAAAAGGACTCCAGGGGAAAGCTCAGGGAAGTGGACCCAGGGTATTAATTACAGGTACTATTTGTTGAGCATTTAGTATGTATCAGGCACTTTATAGGCATGAGCTTATTTAATCCTCTCCTGTAAGGCTGTGAGGTAAGGATTTTATCAGCCCCATTTTGCAGATGTGGAAACTGAGTGTCCAGGAGGCTAAATTGCTCAAGATCATATAACTAGGAAGTATCAGAGCTGGGATATGAGCCCAGGGAGCCTGGCTCCAAGGCTATTTGCTTTACTGGGTGGTCAGTCTGGGGGCAAAAGGAGTAGCATTCACTGTGGAGTCAGTTGGGGATATGAGGGTAGAGTCTAGGGGTCAGTGGCACAGGGTCTGAGCACTGTGTAGTTTTCTGAGTTCAAGGAATGTGGGTGAAAGGCCTCGTGGTACTGGGGGAATTAGATCAAGTCCTGAGGGGTGTCTGAACTATATCAGCAGAGATGCATGAACCATGATGGTCTGGGCTTGGAGGCCCCAGTGGCTTGGACTGGACTCAGCCAGAGGAGACATAAGAGTGGGAAGTATATGGAGTGGCACTGGCATGTCATTGTGACAGTCAAGGCAGGGAACATGGGAGGTGGGCCACTGGTGGGCAGTGAGAGGTCTGGTAGGACCGCAAGGGGTCAGAAAGGCCTGGGAAACTCTCTAAGGCCAGGTAAACCCTCCCTCTCCTCACTCTGGGTCAGTTGGAGTTTCAGATGGTACCTCTCAGGAGCACAAAACCTGTCTCCAGGTATCCTCAAGACCCCCCTTGTGAGCCAGAGCAATTACGTCCAGACCCTTGACACGGGACTCTGGCCTTGGGCAGATCTGGGTTGGAGTTCCTGCTACGCGGCTTACCAGCTGTGACCTTGGGTAAGCTCTTCTAGCTCTCTGCACTTTGTCTCCTTATTGTAGAACTGTGATCCTACCCATCTCCAAATTACTAGGGAGATTAAAGGCCCAATGCTTGACACCCAGTTGGCATTTGGGAAGTGCTCACTCCCATACCTCCTCATTCATCTCGCAGCAGTTCTCCATTTCACCTCCTCCAGCCTCTGCCCAACACAGCCTTGTGCTCTGTGCACTCATCAGACAAGATGCGCCCACCTGTGGCTCACTCACATCTGTATACACGCGCACACATACACAGTTTTTTTCCACTCCAGCCTCTGTTCTCCCACCCCACCACAAGAACCTTCAAAGCTAAATCTTTTATTTTATTTTTATTTATTTATTTATTTTTTGCGTTGGAGTCTCACTCCGTCACCCAGACTGGAGTGCAGTGGCCGCTCCCGGCCACCGCAGCCTCGACCTGCTGGGCTCCGGCGATCCTTCCGCCTCAGCCTTCCGAGTAGCAGAACTACGGGCGCGCGCTACCATGCCCGGCTCATTTTTTGATTTATTGTAGAGATGAGGTCGCGCCAAGTTGCCCAGGTGAGTCTTGAACCCACGGGCTCAGGCAATCCACTCACCTCAGCCTCCCAGAGGTGCGGGATTACAGGCTGAGCCACTGAGCCCGGCTGCAAAATCTTTTAAGGTGGGACATGGACGTGATTACTCGTCACTCAGCAAGCAAACACTGAGTGACTGCCGTGGGCCGAGCATACGTACATATCCACCGTGGCGGCCCTTTCAACGCTGTGTTGAACAGCCAGGTCTCCCTGGAGGCTCGAATCTAGTTTACTTTAGGACAGTGTCCAAACACACACTGATGTATCTATGGGAACATGACCCACAAGCAAACCTGGAGTTCAGATTGGTGCACTCCTCGTCAGCCTCCCCCGCCCCGCACTCCTTCCCCTGGACTTCCAGAGGGAGGCAGGATGTTTCTTCTCTTCAAGATTCACTTCAGAAAGTAGAAATCTGACCTTCGTGAGTCAAATCGCTCTGTGAAGCTGTGGAGGGGGGGCCAGCTGGGTGGGCATCAAGAAGGAGCTCCTGCCTCTATTGCCCTGTTTTTACAGAGATTCCCCCCACCCCAGGTCTAATGACAGTTGCTCTTTATCCAAAGGTAGAGGTAGGATGGAAGGGACACAGGGGTCAGAGACTAGGAGGCAAGGGTGGGGAAAGAGGATGGCTCAGAGGAGTTGACCAGCCAGGGTGACCCAAAGGGACACTGGTCAGAGCACGTCAAATCCCTGGGGGGGAGAGGGAAGCTGCGGGGGAGAGGCTTCCAGGGGAAGTTAGTGGGGAGACCTGCTCAGCCTCCTGGGGTGGGATGGGAGGAGTGGCCAGGTAGTTTGAATTCACTCCCCACTGACTCTTTACTCTGTGGTCTCCTAGAGCTTGAAGTTACAGGATTTATAGGGGGAAAAATGACAGGGTCTTGTAATCTTATTCCTGTGAGACCTTCCTCCCTGTGATAGGCCCTTCCTCCCCCACAGCCCCACCCCTTCCTCCAGGCTTCCCTCCCCTTCCTCCTTCCTAGCTCAGGCCCTTCCCTTTAGGCCAGATGAGAGAGAGCCAGGTAAGACCTTAGGCCTGGCTGAGGCTCTGGCCTCCCCTGACTTCTCACTTTTCCCTCCACTATGCAGGTCCTCACTCACCCACCCACTCACTCCTTCATCCCCCACTCCTTTACCCACATCGGTACCTGCTGTGTACCAGGGACCATGCTAAGTTCTGGAGAAGCATAGAGACAGAACGTGGTATCCACCCCTAGGGCCCACAGCTTGGGTGCTGTGATGACAGCCTCTTGTATAGAGACTGAAGCAAGGATGGGCACCAGGGAAGTCTGGAAAGCTCCCCGAGGAGGTGGCAGCACTCACTGGAGTCTCACCACCTGACAGGTGAGTTCACCAGGTTGATATCCTTCACTCTGCTGCACCACGTGTGTTTTTACCCTGCTTTCTAGCCCTGGAACCTGTAGGTCATTGTACCCCCTGCCTCCAAGAGACATGGGAAATAACAGGCTCTGACCCTGACAAATCCAGCTCCACTTTCTTTGATGATGCCAGTCAGATTGGAGGCTCCTTGAAAGCGCAGATCATGTCGAATACAGCTATGAGCCTCCACCCCAAACATACAGCAGACATGCATTACCTACTCACAATATTCATTTTGGCCTAGGCTGAATATGGAAGACCAGCATAGGCTGACAATCAATTTGACAGCCAACACTTACATAGTGCCTTGTGGTTTTCAGATCACTTCTTCAAACATTTAACCGAAGCTTCATAACACTGAGCTAGGCAGAGTAGGTATCGATGTCTCCATTTTACAGATGAGGAAACTAAGGCCCGAGGACCCATGGCTAGGAAGCAGTAGAGTCCAGACATCTCTGACTGCCCAGCCCCCTACCGTCACCCCACTGAGGGACCTCTATGACCTCATGCAGAGCCCAGGGAGGCCTCTGGCTCTGCCTTCCCCCTAATCTGGGTGCTTTCAGGCCTCTGGGCATGAAGGGGAACTAAAGATGGTTGAGTTAGAGGGAGCAGACCAAGCATGAAATCTCCAGGAGAAAGGTGAACTCGGTCTTTCCTTCCCTGGGGACCAGAGATACCAAACAACAGCCCTGGGTGGGAAAGGTGTCCAGATACCCACACCAGGGTGAAGCCATCCTGGAAAACCTGAGGAAAAGGGAGAGGAGCCTTAGGACAGAGTGGGAGCCATTAGGCCTCTTAAACCTCTTTTTACTTCCTCCCTCCAACTCTCTGACCTGAAAATCAAGTGCCCTGATTGATTTGGGGATAGAGTATGGTTTTCCCATAAGGGAGACAGTGGCATCCATTCAGTGCATGGACCCTGGGAGAGAGAGATCTGAATTCAAGTCCTGGTTCCACTATATACTGAATGACTTTGGTTAAGTCACTGTACCTCTTTGAACCTCTGTTTTACCCTCTGTAAAGCTGGGACAAGTCCATACTTACTTCACAGAGTTGCTGGAAGAGTACATGAGACAATGTGCACCGCACTTAGCACCCAGTGGGTCTTGGACGCATTAACTACTGGTGTTATTCTTGATCTTTCACCAGGCAGCTCCTGGTCATTTGCCTGGTGCCACCCGGAAGGCCCTGCTAACCAAATCCTCTTCCAGCCCACTGCCCCCATTCCCCCTCAAGCCTAAGAACTCAGCCTCACTAATGAAGCCGAACTCTCCTCCCCCCATCCCCCATTCAGAAGTCATTAGCAGGATCTCCGCAATTAGGAACAAATGGCTTATAACGGATGGCATCAGGGAGGGCGGCTGGGATGGAGGTGAACGAAGCTGCAGTTTTGAGGGCAACAGGGAGCTGCTATGAAAAGAAAAGCAAGTGTTGGGGCAGTGGATGGGACCACAGCCCATTTCTGGTTCTGAGAATTTGGCGACAGGGAAAAGGGGGGTGGGAGAGGGGTCATCTGTTTACCACCCCTCTCATCAGGCCACAGAACATGTCTGTGCTGGGGTGCCAGCCCTACTCTCTGTGTCTGGGAGGCCGGGGCATGGTAATGGGCCGGGGGCTGACTTGAAGAGCTATGGGAAACAAGAAGAATTGCACACCCCACTGCCCTGGTGTGCTGCAAGTGTTAGAGGCATCTTGTGCAGTGTTTTGTAAATTGCTGCTCATGACCCAATGGTGGGTATCAATTTAGTGAGTCAAAAAATAGGAACTTTATACGCATACACCCCCCCCACACATACACCTTTGTATTTATACCGATCCAGTTCCCTTGTTGATAAGAAAATGGAGATCCAGAGATGGGCAGTG